TTACCCGGGACTAAATCCACTTACAATGCAAATTATAAGGAAAATAAGTTCAGCGTATTGTAATAGAAGTATAGATCATACATGGAAGAGTGATTTACACTCTCAAAAAACTTTGAAGGCCATGAGATGGGAAGCTATACAATTAACTATGATTAAGAGTGCATGGTCTCTAACTGGAGTCCATAGCCATGTCTGCTTTCAGCGAAGAAAAATTTCACTATATCCAACGTGTGTAATTTTTTTATAAATGACTAAATTACCGTGAAATCTGTACCATTTTTGGCACTTACTAATGTTTCGGGTAAAAATATATTCGTGCCCTTTTTATTCGTTTTGCCCCCCCCCCCCCTGTTCAAACCTGCGTCCGGCGGCCCTGCCAGTAGACACATGAAGCTTATAAAAGGTCTTTACAATATTATAAACGAGAGCATAACAGTAACAATGATCATAATCTATGAAATCTCTCTAAAATTTTATCGAATTCCGTATCTGGAAGCTATCTAGTTTGTTATGTTGTACATCTTCTTCCTTTGTTCGCAAAAACTTGTTTAAACCTAAACCACTAACCCGTGTCGAATCTCTTGTAAAGCTTGGGCGAGGGCTGGTGTAACTGTAATTTGACAATTTCACATACAGCTAATTCGATAGGTGTGGTCGTAAAATTTTCAAAAGGCTTACACAATTGTTTCAAAAATTTTGAAAATGTGCAGCGTCAAAAATTCCAGAAAATTCACCCTGAGCCAACTTATGCTCTATCAGCATCGAACAAAACAGTCATTATTATAAAACCTAACACGCACTCGTTCGTTATGCAACTTCCTTAGGCCGGATCAATGATCCGTATTTTTTTACTGTAGTATTACTGTAGATGCTAAGAATTATTTGCCTCCTAACTTTTTACAACAAAAGCAACCCTTTTTGTACACAGCAAACGACGTACATGACAAATCCTCAGGGACGCCGGGGAACATTTTGTGATAAGGGGGCTCTAGACAAGTTGGCAAAATTTTTGGTAACTTTTTACCATTATCTTTGATGCCATTCCACACTTCAGCAAAAAGTAAGGGGCTATAACCCCCAGCCCCCCGTATGCTAAGATTTGCATGTATGTTTTATTCAAATAAACATGAAACGGAAAATAATTAAAGAACACCAGGGAACTTTAAAACATCTATGTTCCTGTTAGTCTAATCGACATTATTTTGATGTCATGTTTGTTTATTTTGCATCGAAATTAATTTATGGGCATGAGGCTATCGTTAGGCTAGGTGCTAGGTAGGCAGCGTTTGATTAAATGCATTGAAATGCTTTATTATTATGTGACACTGAGAGGCACTAGTTGGCAACTTTGCTAAAAAGAGACTGTCCTTATCTTTCTTTTCGCGGTTTTTTGGCGGTTTCTATGGGAGTTATCATTTAGTTTACTTGGAATTCTTCTGTAGTTTTTCCTCATTTTTAACAGCGCCACTTAGAGCTTGTATATTTGACATGAAATTTTGCTACGATAGAAGCATGAAGTTTGGTATAGGCACAACATTCCATATGCTTCGTAAGACAGGGCCTATTTTAGTGTGGTTTTTCCCACATTTTGTGGTCTTGGACATCCAAAATGTGGTCTTGGAAATTCAAAATTGTGGAATGGGTATTTTCATTTTAGCTATATTTTTGTTGTAAATATGTTTTTCTGGTCATAGAGTTTTGAAACTTTATAACATAACAAAACTGTACAAACATGAATCGTAGCGCAAGTTTCTTGGTCCAGATTAATCTGGTCCAACAAGAGCGAAAAATGTGGCAGCCAATCAGCTTTTTGCTCTTAAATGGTGTAAAAGCCAACCAGAGCTTGTGAAAGACCCCTGAATCTAGCGACAAAAGCAACAATTCAAACTGATCAGCTTACTCTAAGGCCCCCAATAAATAGACTCCCCCCCTCATGATTAATTTTTCAAAAATCTTATAGCCCCCTGCTCTTATTAGATTTTTAAATTTTTTGGCTCAGCGTGTCCTTCAATATTCAAATAAGTATGAATTATAGAGCAATGTTAACCTTTAACCACTGTTACTGTCGGAGTTCATAAAGAATAGGTTATAATAGAAACATATTTGTAATCGTGTTTTGTTGAATATTTTTGTTTTACACGAATGAAGAAAAACGCTTTCTACGACAACTGTCGATATTTTGAAATTCCATGCTTCATATACAGCCTTCTTTTCTTAAAGTGTGGTCTTAGAAAATTTCCATAAAATAGGCCCTGTCGTAAGATGAGAAGTACTGGTACCCAGTGCCCAGTCATAAATTGGTTCTGGCACTATGACGTTATTACTATAAAAACTAAAGGCTAGTTTCCCAGCGTAGTTTGACGTGCTGAATTAGATCGAGTGCATACACAGCATGGGACAACTGGGTATATATTTGCCAGCTTGATCGTTTTATTTCATTTTTGATACTCCTTCAGTCAATATAGCTAATGAACTAATGATTTTTTCGACCCTTAAACTGACGTTTTATACTCTTAAGGAATGTCAGAAGAAAAGAATAAAGTATGCTGTAAAATGTTTAGTTTTTTTAAAGCCATTTTCAGATTTGAACTTCAGGTAGTATTTCGTTTAGGTCAGTTGCTCGATGGTTATGAGAAATAATCTGCCTGTGTTCGGAGCCATTATATACTCGTGGGTGGCTGATTGGGGGAAAATCCGCGAAGAGCTGAGTAGATAAGCTTCACGAATTTATTTGAATTTAATTCATTTTAGCTTCTTTAGACTCTTGAAAGATTTGGCAATGAAAAAATAAGCTCACAATTTCATTAAGAAAGAAATCAAAGCTCCATAGAAAAAATTTATTTTTTATCAAATATTGTCTTGCTGCGTTAAAAGCCATAAAATCTATTAGATTTTTCAAGTGATTACTGTTGTTGCCAAAAACGATTTATTTCTGGAAACTTTACAAAAATCCTTGTATGCTACAGTAAGGACGTCATTATGTTCCACAGAGGCACAAGCTACCCCTTTTCAAAGCAGTAGTCTCAAATTATGATTCCATACACTAGTGCTTTCACCGACTTAGGGAGGGGCATGTAAGAAACAATAAAAAAGAAGCTTTATTTAGGTTTCAGTAAATGAATAGATTCTTTACTTCGATTTATAAGATTGGGAATAATCTTAGTATGGATTAAACCTTGGGTCGAATTCCAAAACGGCGGTCGTTTCAAACTTTACCATTACTACTACCACAAAGAGGTAATTAGATAAACACGGGCAAGGATAGAAATATAATACCAGCTTTTACCAAGCTTCTATCTGTCTGAATTGAATGAGCCTAGACTTAAAACTGGCATTGTCAGTCGCGGTTTTGAAAAATACGCTGCTTTATTGGGATCTACACATTTTTAGGGACAATTTCAAAAGAACACGAGCCACAAAATTGGTCAAAACCTAAAGCTGAGGTATTGTGAAATGTATTTTTTGTCATCTAGGGGTTGCATTTTCAGTGAATTTTCAAACTTGTCGGCAAAAAAAGGATGTTTCAAACACTTGGCTGGCAAATGAGGCGTTAAACCATTGAATGGCCATCGAAATGTTCCTGGACGAAGTGCCTTCCATGTGCCTTCAAACTAGACCTCCTTCGTAGAACCTGCGCACTTGGGTACAAAAATCTGGCAACTCGTGTTCCAATGTTCTATTACAATGTTTAAAACTGGTAGATTTGTCTAGCCTATGGTACCTAACTCTTCCTTAATTAGTCATCGCCGTTATGAAGTACCTTAACACCCCTTTATAAAAAGAATCCCTATTTTTGACATAAAGTACCTAGATAACTGCATAGAAAGCCAACTTAAAAAAAGAAAAATAGCGGTCAAAGTATTTCGCTATTCGAGATATCTGGTAGTAATGGTAAATCTTTTTTGGAAATGTATGAAAAGGTATAATTATGCAATAAAATAGGCAAAAGCTAGAAGAAGTATAACCTCATATTTGTTGCTTTCAACCGATATATTTTACTTTTGCTTCTTTTGAAACCTACTTGATAATTTTTGACGATTTGAAATCTGCTTGATAATTTCTGCTGATTCCGAAATCTGCTTGATAATTTTTGCTTGGTTTCAAACTTGCTTGGTATTTTTTGCTGGCTTTCAAACATGCTTGATAATTTTTGCTGATTTCGAAATCTGCTTGATAATTTTTGCTGATTTTGAAACATGCCTGATAATATTTGCTTGGTTTCAAACTTGCTTGGTATTTTTTGCTGGCTTTCAAACATGCTTGATAATTTTTGCTGATTTCGAAATCTGCTTGATAATTTTTGCTGATTTTGAAACATGCCTGATAATTTTGGCTTGGTTTCAAACTTGCTTGGTATTTTTTGCTGGCTTTCAAACATGCTTGATAATTTTTGCTGATTTCGAAATCTGCTTGATAATTTTTGCTGATTTTGAAACATGCCTGATAATTTTTGCTTGGTTTCAAACATGCTTGGTAATTTTTGCTGGCTTTCAAACATGCTTGATAATTTTTGCTGATTTTCAAATCTGCTTGATAATTTTTGTTGATTTTGAAACATGCTGCTTTCAAACTTGCTTGGTATTTTTTGCTGGCTTTCAAACATGCTTGATAATTTTTGCTGATTTCGAAATCTGCTTGATAATTTTTGCTGATTTTGAAACATGCCTGATAATTTTTGCTTGGTTTCAAACTTGCTTGGTATTTTTTGCTGGCTTTCAAACATGCTTGATAATTTTTGCTGATTTCGAAATCTGCTTGATAATTTTTGCTGATTTTGAAACATGCCTGATAATTTTTGCTTGGTTTCAAACTTGCTAGGTATTTTTTGCTGGCGTTCAAACATGCTTGATAATTTTTGCTGATTTGAAACCTGCTTGATAATTTTTGCTGATTTTGAAAGATGCTTGATAAATTTCACTGGTTTTGAAACGTGCTTGATAATTTTTGCTGGTTTTGAAACATGCTTGATAAATTTGACTGGTTTTGAAACGGGCTTGATAGTTTTTGCAGCTCTGCTGGAAATTATTAGTACTAAACCAAAACCTTTATCACGAGGAACAAACCTCATCAAAAAGTTCATTTGCTTTTTTTCATCACTCAAGTACTTTGCCAAGCAATTTGAAATTTTACTCTCCAACTCAAGAAAGCTAAACAATTAAACAATTATGCAAAATATAATGCTCTTAAAATCCCAATTGCATGCAATATTAAAAATCAAATGAGAGATAATTTAAAGTGCCATTTGAATGAATTGTAACAAAAAACAATTAACTGAATTGTTACATATTTCCGTTAGGAAGGCTGTCCGTTTGTGCACCGTCACATTCGTTCAGCGTTTTCCTATCATTCAGTTGTTTGTCAACTGCTTTTGAAAGAGCTTCAAGGAACTGTGACAATGAAACTGTTGAACTCTGTCAAAGCAAAAAAAGATACGTTTGAAAGTAAGTTTATGTAATTACATCGTTTGATTAAATAAAACAAAATATCTGAATGCTTTATTTACAGACACAATCGATAGATTAAAGCGAAAATTAACTTTTGGTTCCAACCAAACCAATTTGGATGCAGTCAAAACAATAAGGGGCCATAAAATGTGGACTTATATAGTAGATAGGGGTGCGGTAAATAGCACAGAGCAGTGCAGTGTTGAGAATATGAGAGTGTATTTTGCACATTCTAAGGTACAGTGTGCATTATAAAGGGGGCACATTTGAACAAAATAACGTAAATAATTATTCACCTGTATATACAAAGCATGAGCGAGAAAAGGTAATTTCCTCAATGCCCTACCACTAAGTCCATGGCTTTTCCTGTTGTGAAAAGAGTTTATAGCTCTCAAAACATCACTTGGTATTATTCGAATAATATGAGTGTATTCTTGTATGCTAAATAGCTGTAGGGTTTTGAGACATTACTTGATAACAAATACTGCAGGCTGTCATATACATTTTGGCGTGAGCTTCAACGTGCATTTAGCAAGTGTTTTAGAAAATATATCTAAAAATTGATGGCAATGTTAGAAGGTATTTTATTCTTCTAATATAATCTTGTTAACATTTCCATTTTTGATATATATTTTGAGAATTAGGTAGTACTAAAAATGGGGACTTGCAATATGTAATGTTACGTAAATGCAATTTTATAGATATCAAAATTCTCAAAAGTTTCGTTCGATAGAAAACTTTTTGAATGTTCAAAAAGGGAAGCAATAATTACCTTGCTATTTCTCTAAGAAGAAGACTAGAATGTGTTGCTGCGTTGTCGACAAACCTAGTTAGCAATATTTGTAGACTTGAGAGAGATCATGAAGTCGTTTTAATTTCAAAATAACATGAACATGGAAAAAGTTTCCAGAAATCTATGAATCAATGCAACTGATATTATATCTATTCGTTACTGCTGCTAACTTTGACAGTTATATCTCTAAGCAAAGTAAATATTCATGAGAAATAAATGAAGGCAAATTCCAAATGCCGTCAAATTCATTTAGTAGGATAATTATGCAAATTGATATGTTCTTACGCTATTTTGAGTATAGAACAAGACGATTCTAAGTGGCTACTTTTCCCCGGTGATCACATTGAGCGTGAAACTCAGAGTAGCAGCTTAGAACCATCCTGTTCTAAACAAAAAAGCGTGTGCAGCTCTGCCTATACGGTATCGAGCACTTTATGACAGACAGGTAACGGTGATTTCCATCAATGTATTCTCAAATAGAAGATATGTTGTGTTCTCAAATAGAAGATATTCGAGCCTTGAAGAAAAGTAATGCAATGAAACAATTTCGAAGCATATCGTCAAAAAAAAGAATGTCACCTTGAATTACGAATTACACCTTTGTAAAGATATTGATCTACGGTACACAGGGTATGATACATATGACATATATCGAATCGGTGCACTTACCTCATGAGTTCAAGAGACCTAAAATAAGTGAGATAGTTAAAAAAATTCAAAACTGTGTTATGACAAAATAAAAAGAAAGATGGAAGTGTTTTCCGAATACAACTCATTCTGAATAAAACAGTGGCAATGCTGCATCACATTTCTTGCTTTTAACTTATCCTCGCGTATTCCTGATGCTGATAGAGCATTGGTTCGCTGATTGCTAAGATACAGAACCTCTGCCTATTTCGCTTACGATGTTTAATCATAAAAGGGGACCCTTTCCCCTTCATATACTGTACATTAAATTAATTTTAAAATTTAAGTTAAGGTGAGTTTGTTATATATAGGGGCAACAATGCTCTTCAAAAATTGAGGTTGAGTTCCCAACTGTGTCTCTTTCATTTTACAATTCATAAAATACACAGCGTACCTGAGCATCCATTGAAACAATTGTGAGATGTAGCCCTGGTAATACTCTCATTAAACTAAATGCTGCCGTTACAACACTATCATAAATCACTTAATCTTAAAAGCAGATAAAAGTCTGACAAAAAGTCCCACAGCCGGTAATCCCTTCTTCTTGTTCTCGGGTGCAGCCCTGTATAATAATACTAAACTGCCTCGTTTTATTTGGAAGTTTGGAAGTTTAACGTCATTGCCTATTTTGTATTGTGTGGTTTAAGGTCACGTGTAATCAAAAACTACTGTTCACTTGGATCTTGGCAGTTTTATTGAGCTGCCTTATACCTTGTCTCCTGTCCGATTACCCCTTTATTTTCTTCCTTTCTGATTCTGTTAACCAAGCCTTCATTGTGAATATACTATTTTATATCTTAAATAAACTATTTTATTTAAGACTGACCCGGTAATAAGATGCATCAAGATTGAATGACAACGCGAGCCAACTTATACATATTCTTGTAACTAGCTGCTAAATCATTGGTCAATATGGTGGCAAAAGATTCATTGGAGGACCCTTTACGTCGTAAAGCAGTGACTTGCAGAATGATAATTAGGTAACATCTAATGCTAAAGTGAAAGATAATACACAAACCTTAAAAAAGAAACAGAAACAAAACCACTAGTTATCAAATTTTACACACCTGATAGTCAGAAGTTGTTCAGCAGGGTACACAATCTTTCGCTAGAAAAATACAATTCAAAATGTCATTGGTGGCTTACCTCGAGAATATTTTTGGCTAAGCTGCGCTGATGTTGACTGAAACTTTCAAACTCAAGCCATAGTCTATAGTTTTTATTTAACATATATCTACCAAATGTCGCTGGATCAAATTACTGACTTTGTGTCACAGAGATAGCTTCCTCTAACATCACAGCTTCCTTCTTGCATTGAGTAGCCTTATTGTCAGCTACTTTTGAAGAATTACTATAAGGTTTAGATGCAATAGAATTAACAAGGCAAGTTAAATGTATCAAATGAAAAACACGAACCTCGATCAGTTCACGAATGCACGAAAGGTAAATCGTGTAAATCGCATTCACTGATGGTGGTCCAATATACTGTTTAATGTCTGCCCTGAAAGAATCAGTGTCTCGATTCAAATTTAATGTATGAAATAGACAGAACTGTTGCTTACCAGAGTGTTTATAATGAATTAAAAACCTTCCATGCAGCACTATATACATGTTTGTAAGAGAAAACCCTACAGTGGGAAACATCAACTTAGAGGAAATGTATTTCAGGTACCGTTTAGAAACTAGTTGTGCAGGCTGTCCAACAAATATGCTCCACTGTTTGTTAAAGAAGTATGATGCATTGTGACCTTGATTAAAAAGTAGACAACTTTGCTTACCTATCAACAAAAGCAAGATCGATGGCTCCTGTAATATTCGAAGTTGTCAGAATAATAACATTGGGGCATCTATAATGGAAATACTTGAGTCAGTATCTGACAGAATTATTCAGACAACATTTCATGGGAAAGTGTTGTTTGAAAGGAAAAGTTTAAACAATGTCTGTTAATGCGCAACGTCTTGAGGACGTTTTAAGAACAGGCCCGCGCCACTGGTAAGCTTACAACAAGAATACTATGATTAAGCGGCTAGGAATGTAGGTGAAATGTTATAGCGGGGAAATGATAACAGTGCAGGTGGCGGAAATGAATACTGTTATACGGTTCTGAAGCAAGACCAGGCAGATCCGTAGACAGCAGAAATTCATGTTCTTAAAATCGCCACTGTTTCTTTTTGCTATAGAACCTCTATGTATTGAATCAGCGAAAGAAAACGCGACAAATCGAAGTGAAAAAATACTAATATCATATTTTCTAGAAAAACAAATTTCCGGAAAACTAAGGTAGCGCCTACAAGTAAGGTAGCCGTGAGTAAAATATGTCCTACTTTCCATTTGGATGCGTGATAGGACATGTTCCTGCATACTTTATATTGTGCCGCATTATCAACACTTTGCTATCGGTTTACATATCACTTAGTCAAATTTACAGGTTGTAAACAACCTTCTTGTGTTACCCCGAAGACAGCTGGATCGTTTCTTTGTAGCGTTATATTTCAAATAGCATGTAACGCCAGCCACTAGGCTCTGGGCGGACAAAACGAAAATTGTCCCACAATCACTACATCCAAAAGGAAACTGAAGGATTTCCTACAAAATTAGCATCATTCCCGAAGCAAGATCCCTAGGAAGACCAGCACATCCATACTGTTCTAGTCTCTTTTCTTTTTTTGTTGCTTTCTTTACCATTAGATGCAAATATAATGAGCATTTTCGTTTAGGTTAAAAGCTAGGGGCTGATAGAGTTTTCGTGTATAAATACGATATGATGATGATGATGACGATGTTGAACCCCGCCCTTTTTACGGCCAGAAAACGCCCCTTTACCAACATGGAACGCCAAATTCACCAAAAGCAAAATTCGATGACAAACTTTTGGTTACGCAAAGGCAGTTCAAAATCATCGGTTTATACCACAAAAAATACATTGCCAAAATATTTCCCCTCCCCCAAACATTATCTCGTCGAATTTAGATGAAATACAAAATCGATCCTGCCGAGAACTGGGGGGACGTGTCCTCCCAATTTCCCCAGTGGCGCCACTACTGCATGTAACGAGAGCTTTACCAAAATTCAAAGTACAGGACGTTAAACAAAATGCCAACTATACCGCTTGATCTGATCAAGTTGTGTAAGAAGTGCATTCACCACCCTTATGGCATCTGATGGCTCAGAACCTTTCATTGCCGAAGCACGTGCAGCAGTTAAACTTTCTACCTAGGTAAAAAGATTTAGAAAATATTTGAATACACGCTAACCTTATGCCCAATAAGGGTACAATATTTGGAGCGCGGTATCGCACATGAAATTCAATCAATGCATCATATCGCAAGATTTGTTCGCTTATTTGAAAACAAGTTGGGTTCCCGTCCAACATCAACGTTTTTTGTGTTCTCAGTTTCTTTGACATTCGGCAGGGGAAGAACTATACATAGTATAGATGTACAAGGGAAGAGAACCAAGCATATAAACAAGTGAGAATATTTGTCAAGTCTCATAGAGGTAGAAGGCATTGACAAGTTTTCGGTACAAATAGGCAAATAAAGACACATGGCAAAACGACGCAATATTGTCTATCCAAAAATTGTTGCAGCAAATCTTGTTTCGTTGGAGGCTTTAGAAAGTATTTAGAGGTATTACAGCAAACCTATAAAATGGCATTAAAAAGATAATCGAAACTCATACCTCGTCAATCAGAACTAACACTAAAGCATTACTATCATCTATTAATTCTTGTATCCTTGCAAACATTTTCAACACCAGTTTTCCACTCTGTAAAATTCAATTTAAGCATAGACTCACTCTTTCTTCAAAAATAATATTAGAAAAAGATAAAATTCTTGAAATAGAGACAATACGTTTTTCAACTCATAAGTAACATCTAAATCACGCTCCTTAGTGCGTCTATGGGTGTATCGATTCTGTGAAATCAATGGGAATTACACAGACGTAATATTAGTTCCTAATCTTTTTTCAATTATCTGCTTTTGTTAAATAAGCTTTTAATACTGCAAAATTTCGAAGTTGTGCAGCAAAGTCAAGAAAACGAAAGAAACAAAAGTTGTGAGCAATTTTGAATTTTCTGCTGTTTCTAAAATCAATAATCGAATATCTTATTTGTGCTCAGAACACACTTACTTCCGAAAACCATTTGGAGAATAAGCTATGACTATTAATTTCCACCAGCTGCCCGTGAGTGAACCTAAAGATCGCAAAATAACCACAAATTAAAATGAAAATAGAGTATTGTCTACGAAGGAAGTAAAAAGAATTATAAGAGACAAAAATAGCTTTATCAGCAAAGATATG